CCCCTCATTCGCTCTACCTCCTGACAGCCCCTGGTGCTCCCCATGTGGTCCTGCGTGGCATGGCCTGTCCTCACTTCTCGGCAACTGTGAGTAACAAACTATCTTTGCAATGGTTGTCATCTCCTGATCTCTAGGCCTCACCGCACTGGAACAATACTAAAACCTACATTTCAAAACAGCCACATGAAAATGTACCCAGCATCAAAGAAGCCCTATCCAAATATCATGTATCCAGAGAGGGCAAGGCCAAGAAAGTGACTTTGGGCTCCATCCTGGGGGCCTTACGTGCCTGTACGAGGGAACTGCACTTCATACCTGGAACAGTAGGAAGCTTCTGCAAATTCCTGGGCATACAGAAAATGACCACAGATGTCCTTGAGGAAGACCAACCTGGCCCTAGACTGTAGGATGCACTGTAGAGGCAGGGAGACCAGAGAAGAAGCTGCAGTAGCTGCCTAGGCAAGAGGGTCCAGCCCTGTACCTGGCAGAGGGAATGCAAAGGACACTGTAGATTAGAAAGGACATGATTTGCCAATGAATGGAACGTGGCGAGCAGTGGAGGAAGAATCAAAAAGACCCAGGGCTTCCAAATGCCGGCCTCTGGAAAGAGAGAGGAAACTGAGGCAGAAAGGGAGGTTCTGGAAAGATGAGAAGGTTTGGAAGTAAGGGATCATTAACTCCTTCAGTTCCTCTTTTCAAACCTGGGTGATGGTCATCATCACGTGTGTCCTCATCCAAGTATGGCAGAGCTCCTTCAGGCCCTGTCCTAGGTGCTGAGGAGAAAGTGGTTGAACGAACAAGCCAAAGTGCCCATCTGCACAGAGCTTATATCCTGGGGGTGGGGCGGGGGGGAGAGAAATGGAAATACATGGCTTTGTTTCTTTTGAGAGCATTATGACCTAGGAACTGCAGGCCAACCCTGCCCTTCTGCAGCGATTTGCCATTCATTCACCCCTGAAAACAGGTTCCCATCTGCTTCATCGACCTCACTCACACTGACATGAAGATATCATTAGAGCTTTTAGCAGGAAAGCTGGAGTCAGTTACAGCCAACTTAGAAATCCACGTTTACTTTTTTTTCTCCTTCAGGTTGTCAAAGATGTGTTCCTAAAGAGAGCCAAGGTGTCCCACAAATATCAGTCAAGTGCGAGCGGGTGACCTGATACCTGCCAAGGAGAGTGATATTTCAGTTGTTACCCATTCCTAGTTCCTAGCACCGAGGCAGAGAAGCCCACCCTCCCGGCTCCAAGGACCTCTCTCATTTCCATGGCGCAAACCTTTCTCCTCTTTTCTTTTCTTTATTTTCTTTATTTATTTTTTTTTTTGGAGACAGAGTCTCGCTCTATCTCCCAGGCTGGAGTGCAGTGACACGATCTTGGCTCACTGCAACCTCCTGCCTTCCAGGTTCAAGGGATTCCCATACCTCAGCCTCCGGAGTAGCTGGGATTACAGGCGCGTGCCTCCACGCCCAGCTAATTTTTTGTATTTTTAGTAAAGACAGGGTTTTGCCATGTTGGCCAGGCTGGTCTCAAACTCCTGACCTCAAGTGATCTGCTCACCTCGGCTTCCCAAAGTGCTGGGATTATAGGTGCGAGCCACCACACCTGGCCAGCACATACCTTTCTATTTGTTTTTCTTCTGCCTGCAGAATAATCATTTTGTTTCTGATTTCTTCTCCGACACAAAGACTGGGAGTCACAGGTCAAGAGGGAAACCACAGATTAGGAACACAAAGGAATGCACCAATAGGCAAGAACATATAAAGCTTACAAACAATAGGTTGAGAGCTTTTCCAACCGTCCATTTCGCCTCCGCCCTCTGAGGTTGGAGATTGGCTTATGTGTTCTGGCTGTGAGTAAAAACTGCCGTATTTTCCTTGTTGGCCTAAGTACCATAAATGCATCCTCCAGGTTCTCTCATTAAAGATGAATTTGGGTAGATTAGAGATGGGGAAAAAAAAAAAAAAAAAACAGCGGAAGGTAAAAGGTTTTCATCACTTAATAATACCAATTTTATCATCACTTAGCATAACTTATTTCTGCCAATTTTATCATCACTTACAATAACTTCCATTAGGGTAATAAGGCATTAAGTATATGTTGATTGCAAATAATCTGGTTACATTCACTAATTATATGGAGACTGATTTTTTTCCTGTTTGAAATACAATTTTAAAACATCTCTACTTCCTAAAAACAGGACATATCAAAGTAAGGAGACACATATGCTGTGGAGATAGAAAATGAAATTCTTGTGTATTTGGCAAGTGCCTGATTACAAGATGAAAATAGATGGAGAATTCATCTGCAGAAATAAAGAATGTAAATGGCTTGCTGCGGCTGATTTGCTCTCACCTTCTCTCCCTTGGGGTCAAATTAATATATTTACTACTGATAAGGTGTTTTATATAGCAGAGGTGTTGGTGCTCAAATGCCATCTCACAGAGTGGGGGCCTGCCCTGAACACGTGCTTTTTAGAGAGATTAAGTATAAATTGCCAGGCTCGGAATTTTATGAGTCTTCCATAGCTGTGAAGTGCTGGTTTACATCGGGGATATAGAGGCTTTGGATGCATTAGATTGTCATTTAGGGCTTCTATAAAATTTCATAAGCCTGTCCATTCTAACCCAGCTTTCAAATGGCTATCATCGCTCAACGGTATTAATGACACTACCAGTATGACTAGCAAGTTGCAACTTGAAGATTGACACATATGGACTAAATGCAAACTATTGTTTCCAACTTGATGAAACACGCCTTGGCTGTTTTCAAGTTTATAAAATTCTAAATGCCCTTCGCATCCAAACCAGAGCTGGATTTTCCGAGATGCCATTTTCGGTATGTCTGGAATTGGAAGTGGTTTCCTATCAGCCAGCCACGGACATTTTCCAATTTATTTTTCAGGAAAGTGTTCAGATTTTTTTTTGGCTTAGAAGAAATAAAAAAATGACTCAGATTTCAATTAAAAGCATAATGATAATGATAGTTTGCACTGTGTCACGTTTTCAACTATTTAAAAACAATTTTGTGTTATTTTTTCTCTCTTTAAAAGATCCTGAGCATGAGGAGAATTTGTGTGATTTATTGCACTTGTATTCGCTCCATTTTACAGACAAGGAACTGCGGCTTAGAGAGACCAGTGACTTGCTCAAGGTCACGCATCAAGTGTCAGCATGAAGACTGGGAGGTTCCAGGTGTCCTGCTCTGCAGCTTTCAACTGTAGCACATGAAATATGGATGACAGGAAATGCAAACCACTCCGTTCACTGTTAACTAAACCACAATGCGCTTTCACCACAGTCTTCCTGAGCCTGGCTCTTACAGCAGGATGTGACCTTTAGTGTGAGCTCCGGTCAGCTTGGGCCGATGTGAGGGCCTGCCAGGCTCACGGGATGGTGTCTTTATGTTTTGCACACTTGCCATCAGATCCATGTGAAGAGGTGTCTGAGACAGCCAAAGCTGGGCTGCCTCTATGTGTGGAGAGTGGGGCGCATGTGAAATGGCTGTGGGAGACGCCAGCTGTGCCACCCGCATTAACAAGGGCCTTTAGGGCCATCTGCTTATTGACGCTACCTAGAGGCATCTCTCAAGTTGCGCAGTCTCTGTGGTTTCCTTCCTAAAAGTAATGAAAGATGGGAATAAGTTCTGTCTCTCTGAAGGTTTCCAAAGACCAAATAAAAAACCCAGTATAGGGCCGGGCGCGGTGGCTCAAGCCTGTAATCCCAGCACTTTGGGAGGCCGAGGCGGGCAGATCACGAAGTCAGGAGATCGAGACCACCGTGAAACCCCATCTCTACTAAAAATACAAAAAATTAGCCGGGCATGGTGGCGGGCACCTGTAGTCCCAGCTACTCAGGAGGCTGAGGCAAGAGAATGGCGTGAACACAGGAGGCGGAGCTTGCAGTGAGCCGAGATTGCGCCACTGCACTCCAGCCTGGGCCACAGAGCGAGACTCTGTCTCAAAAAAAAAAAAAAGAAACCTAGCATAGGCTGGGGCGCCATAACTCACGCCTGTAATTGTAGCACTTTGGGAGGCTGAGGGGGGAGGATCATTTGAGACCAGGAGTTCCAGACCAGCCTGGGCAACATAGTGGGACTCCATGTCTATAAACAATTTAAAAATTAGCCGGGCATGCTAGCCGCATGCCTGTAGTCCCAGCTACCTGGGGGGCTGATGCAGGAGGATTGCTTGAGCCTAGGAGGTCAAGGCTTCAGTGAGCCAGGATGGTGCCACTGCATTCCAGCCTGGGTGACAGAGTGAGACACTGTCTCAAAAACAAAAAGACAAAACTAGCGTAATTCAAATTTGAACATGCCCTAAGATAGAATAAGTATGTCCCTTCTGATTGCAGATTGTTACCTGAGGGTACATTCATTCCTAATGACATTGCTACTATACTTGACGTCTCACCTTGGGAGAAAAAAAGGTCAAGAAAGTTTAAGTCAAAAAAAGTCACGGTCCAAGGAGGAGAGCTTTCCTTGATTTCAGTCTCTCCCATCTGTACGTGCCGTTCACAATTAGAATCACACATTGCAAGTTCCTGGTGATTCCGGGGCCAAGGGAAGCAAGATTTATATATTGCTGAGGAGAGTGCTCCAACCTGAATTGTAAGATGCGTCTTGCTCTCACATTCTACCTCTTTGTACTAAAAATTAGTGCATTTCTAAAACTGTAAAAAGGAATTGCTTGGCTTTTCTAAGTGTAAAATCACCCAGGTGAGATTATTTTTCCATGTTACGATGCCCCCATCACCCCTTGAGATGTACTGAGCAAGACGCCTTGTGGGAGGGAGTTTAAATGCACAGACGTAAGCCCTGCAAACCCAACACTGACAATCTTTACATTAACAAGAACACACTTCTAATTATTCCAAATTCTGTTAAAATTAAGCCCAAATGTTCAATTTTCCACGTGTTCCTCTTAATTAGAAATGAAATGAAAGAGAAAAAGGAACCATTAAAATTATATAAATAAAAACAGATGGAAGGGAGTATTGGAAGCTCTTTTCTATAATAACATTCCCTTTAATAAAATTCATTGGTTAATTTGGTTGATAAAAACAGCGTTAAAATTAAATAAGAATTAACATACACTCGGATAAATATTTGTCACCTCTTTCATGTGCTACCATGATAAAGGTAATTTAGCTTAAAAGCAGTCATCATCTTTCTTCATAACTGATAAAGCATTACTAATTGTGTGTGTTAATACGGTACAATATGGAATTGAATAGAGATTTTATCTTAATAACATCTCCATTAAATTAAAGACAGTGTTGTATGACAGGAAAGATAAGTCTGTTTATTCCAAGCCAGCACATCAAAAGAACAACTGCAGGAGATGGTGCAGTAACTAACATTTTCCATAGTGTTCTAGCTGGCAGCATCACATTTATAGTCACTGTTGTAAGCAACACTGTTCTGTGGGATAATCTAGATAATGTTTCATTGAGAAAAGTGATATTTTAATTATGGTGTGAAAGATACGGATCTTTTCCTTTCTGTGTCTAATAGGATATTTCTACAAACAAGATGCTGAGTGGAAAATCATCTGATTCTGTTGCACTAAAATAACCATCCTTTGAGGCAATTTCGCCACCCCTGAGCCTCTGTGGGCAGGACATGAGGGGTCAGGGGTTACCAAGAAGAGAGTTGACAATAACAACTGGACTGGGGGAATGAGGGGGCCGTGGTGTCAGTGCCTTCCTCCTTCTGTCCCTCCTGGGGCTGTCGTGTGCAGGACTGCCTTCCTGCCCCAGGGCGGTGCACTCAGCTATGTCCCTGCAGGCTGGTAGACCAGGATTCCCTCCGTGCATTAGCCAGCAGACGGCCCGGGCTGAAAAGGGGGAGCTGAACCCTGATGGAAAAGAGGGAATTAGAGTCCAAAGCCCAGCTCCCTTCCCCACGTGAGCCTGGGGAGCTCAGCTCTGATGAATACATCATTGCCTTGGCACCATCTGCCCTGGAGGACCAGGAGATGTTTGGAATGCCAGTTGTTGTGTCTGTTCGTTTGTATTTTAAAAGCACATGCCACAAACTGCCTCTTCGGAGACTGTGGATTTGCTGTGACTGTGAGATGCTGTGCCTTGATATGCTGACATTCTCCCATGTCATCTCTGCCTCTGGGAGCGAATGTCCTCCAGCCCTACAGACACATGCAGGGCCTCGGAAGACGTGTCTCCTTACTGCCACTCCGGCCACACACACCTGATAAGAAGCAGCATTATTGTGAATAACCAAAGTCAATATTAAGTACTGGATAAGAATGAAAGTAGTTTGGGAATAATTATAACCACCCCCCCTACCCCCAAAAATATACTGTTCAAAAAGTCAGTCTGGAGAAGCAGATAACAACCCTATTTTTATACCAACCCGACTGAATTCTTAATACGTGGCAAAAAAGAAAATCATGGCTTACCGTAAAGCAGGAGATGTCATAAATAATGAACTGCACTAACAGCTTAGCATCATAAGGAGACAGATGGAAAACTTCTCTCCCGAGATCACTGCTTCCAGAATTTGAGGAAGGGCTTCTGGACGTGTTCAGGGTGGATAGTTCAAGCCTGAATTTCAATGAGATGGGAACACTTTTTAGTATAAACGCAAGATTTTCATGTCTCCCTTTTAGGAAATACGGGGATTATGGCGTTCATCTGTTTCATCCAGGACTGGAAGCAAAACCCTGAATCTCAGACTCTTCCAGCATGTCTGATTCAATCAAACAAGGGAAGATGCTGCGGGTGCTTTGTATGCTAAGGAAGTGCTAGGATGCCATCGTCTGTCCAGGAGAAGAAAGGAACACCCATCCGTGTGGTTAAGCTATCAGAAAACTGGAGCATTGGGAATAAAGAAATTATTTCCACGAGACAAGCATGCCAGCCATTGGCTCGTAATGAGCTGAAAGACCAATGACTGCTTCTCAGAGACTCCCAAGGGCCCAGTGTCCTGGCTGCAGACCTGCGGCTGAGTCAGCATGGTGCACAGCAGAAAGTGAGGGGAGGGTGGCCAGTGCTGCCCCGCCAGGCTCTATCAGCATCACCTGGAGCAGCACAGACGCTTCAGTCTCCATTCTTTCTTCAGGAAAGAGGCCTACTCACAGATGGACACACCAAGGTTCAGGTAACGTCAGGAAGCTCATTTACTCACACAGTCCTGGCCCATTGGGCTCTCTGGAGGCCCTTCTTCCTTGGCTGTCATCTATTTTTAAACTGATATGTAGTAGTTGTACATATTTATGGAGGACATGTAATATTTTGATACTTGCATACAATGCATATTAAGTCAGGGTAATTGGGATATCCAAGACCTCAAACATGTATCATTTCTTTGTGTCAGGAACATTCCAAATCTTCTCTTCTAGCTATTTTGAAATATACAATATATCATTGTTAACTATAGTCGCCCTACTGTGTTATCAAACCCTAGAACATATTCCTTCTATCTAACTCTATGTTTGTATTCATTAACCAACCTCTCTTCATCCCCTTCTCCCCTGTACCCTTCCCAGCCCCTAATAACTATCATTCTACTCTCTACCTCCATGAGGTCAACTTTTTCTAGCTTGCACATATGAGTGACAACCTGCTATATTTGTCTTTCTGTGCCTGGCTTATTTCAATTACCGTAATTACCTCCAGTTCCATCTGTGTTGCTGCAAATGACAGGATTTCATTCTTTTTTGGTGGCTGAATAGTACTCCATTGTGTATACATACCACATTTCCTTTATTCATTCACCTATTGATGAACACAGGTTGATTCCCTATATTGGCTATTGTGAACAGTGCTACAATGAACGTGGAAGTGCAGGGATCTCTTCAACATACCGATTGCCTTTTCTTTGGATATCTACCCAGCAGAGGAATTACTGAATCACATGGTAGTTCTATCTTTAGGTTTTTGAGGAACCTTTATACTGTTATCCCACAGTGGGTGTGCAATGTGTGTTCCATCCATCGACAGAGCACAAACATTCCCCGTTCTTCACATCTTCACCAGCATCATTTATTTTTTTGTCTTTTGATAGTAGCCATTTTAACGGAGGTGAGATGATATCTCATTGCGGTTTTGATTTGCATTTCCCTGATGATTAGTGACATTGAGCATTTTTTCATATGCCTGTTGGCCACTTGTGTGTCTTCTTTTGAGGAATGTCTTTTCAGGTCATTTGCTCACTTTTAAATCTGATTATTTTTATTATGTTTTTTGCTATTGAGTTGTTTCAGTTCCTTACATAGTCTGGTGATTAACCCCTTGCAGGATGGGTAGTTTGCAAATGTTTTCTCCCATTCCACGTATCGTTGCTTCACTCTCTTGACTGCTTCCTTTGCTGCACAGAAGATTTTTAGCTTGATGTTACCCCATTTGTCTATTGTTGCTTTTGTTGCCTATGCTTTTGCAATCTTACTCAAAAAATATTTGCCCAGACCAAGTCTTCAAGAGCAAAATTTGCACAATATCTGATTAGGGTCTGGGGACCATTCAGAGCGAGTCCCCTGGGGGCACCTGAGCCAATAGGTGATCTAAACCTTCATCACAATTATGAGCCATCACATCAAATAGCCCATTTCTTCTAAAACCCAACTGACTCTTTACGGGAACTGTGCATTTAAAAATGATGAAGTCATGCTTCCTTATCTTGGGGACACTGCAAATAATGGGGTGTTGTAGTTTCACTAAAATGCCTCAGATGAACTTTCCAACCCACAACCCTTAAACACAAATGAATAGTAGCATGGATAGTCAAGTGCAAGCTCAAGTTCAAATTGCCAAAACACAGGATATCAGGCATAAGATTAATTTACCTCTTACTTGCAAGATAAGGTAGGAAATGATAAAATCAAAGGCACATATTTTCAAAACCAAAAGAAATAACAATACATACAAAATGTTAACAAACGAGATGATAATTGTGTCAGTAATTCCCAAGGTCAGGCTGGGGGAGAGTGTAGTTGGGAAGACACCAAAACTCAGAAATTGTGGATTCCTCACTGTCCTTCCTTCCAACACAGTGGAATGTGGACTGGTCTGAGAATGTGATGGTGTTCAGGACAATAGGTTGTAATGTGATTGGGGCAGAGCTTTTCTTTTCTTTCTTTTCTTTTCTTTTCTTTGCTTTCCTTTTCTTTTGAGACGAAGTCTCCCTCTGTTGCCCAGGCTGGAGTGCAATTGTGCAACCTTGGCTCACTGCAACCTCCACCTCCCGAGTTCAAGTGATTCTCATGCCTCAGCTTTCCGAGTAGCTGGGATTACAGGTGCCTGCCACCATGCCCAACTAACTTTTGTATTTTTAGTAGAGGCAGGGTTTCACCATGCCGTCTAGGCTGGTCTGGAACTCCTGACCTCAGGCGATCCACCTTCCTCAGCCTCCCAAAGTTCTGCGATTACAGGCGTGAGCTTGTTACTTAGAAAAATGTCAAACTTATAGAAAAACTACAGTAATTACTCCTATATATCCTTTATGTAGATTCACAAAATGTTCACATTTTGCCACATAGGCTCTGTCTCTCTCTGTGAACATATATAGTTTTATGTTATTTTATTTATTTTTTGCTGAGTCTTCTCAAAGTTGTAGGTATGATGATTCCCTACATACTTCGGGATGCATCTTCCATAAGTGAGGACACTCTGTTACAGAACACATTCACTCTCATTTTCCATTACTGCTTTAAAGATTACCACAAACCTAGCAGCTCAAGACAACACTCATTTATTATCCCGTCGTTTCAGTGGGATTATCCCATAGCCTGGGTATGGCTTAGCTGGGTTCTTTGGATAGGGTTGCACAAGGCTGTAATCAAGGGTGGGTCAGGGTTATGGTCTCATCTGAGGCTTGCTTGGGGAAGAATCTGCCTGTCTTGGCAGAGTTCAGTCCTTGCAGCTGTAAGACTGAGGGCTTCAGCTCCTTGTGATATCTCTGCTGGAGGCTGCTTTCAGCTCCTAGAGGTCACCCTCAGTGCCTCCCATCACAGATAACCCACAGCATGGAAGCTTGACTCTTCAAAACCAGCAAGAAAGTGAGAGACGCCAGCAGGAAGGGGTTACAATCTTACATAACACAATCATGTAATGATGTGCACATAACTGCAGACTTCGAGTCACTTTTGCCATAATCCATTGGTTAGAAGAAAGTCATAGGTCTTGCGCCTTCTCAAGGGAAGGGTGTCACACAAGTCAAGAACACCAGATGGGTTAGGTGCAGTGGCTCATGCCTGTAACGCCAGCACTTTGGAAGGCAAAGGCTGGCAGATCACTTGAGGTCAGGAGTCTGAGACCAGTTTGGCAAACATGGTGAAACCCTGTCTCTACTAAAAATACAAAAATTAGCCGGGCATGATGGTGGGTGCCTGTAATCCCAGCTACTTGGGAGGCTTGAGCCTGGGAGTTGAAATTTGCAGTGAGCCGACATCACGCCTCTGCACTCCAGGCTGGGTGACACAGTGAGACTCCATCTCAAAAAAGAACACCAGGTGGTGGGACCATGAGGACCACCTTAAGTATCTGCCATAACATTACACAATGACCAAATTCAGGAATTCACATCAATATTATCCTTCTCAATGTATTGTGCCTGATGTCAGCTTGTCCCATTGTTGGTGATATTAACTCTGATTATTTGGTGAAAGTTTCTTATCTGTTAAATTTACCAATTTTCCTTTTGTAATTATTATCATAGCCTTTATCAAAATGTCACCCCACCATTTTAGCAAAATTGCTGATTCTTTGCCTGATTCAGTTATTACCATGATAATTGCAAAATACCGATTAAAAAAAAAAAAACCACTCCATCATTCTTTTTTAACTCCATTATTCAACATGTATTAGTTGGCAATTGACTGTAAGAAAGAGTTTTCCCTCTGTTGTATATCTGAGGGTATTTCCCTGTTCAGCATGTCGTCAGGCGGGGCTGCAGGATAGAATATAACATGCATATGGCCGACATTAAAAAGTAGGTAAGTGTCACCCAGGGAAGATACCAGACATGGTTTAAGGTCTTTGAAAACAGACAACATGAACACCTGGCTCGAGTGGCCCAGCGATGACTTGCAGCCAGGAGAGAGAGAGCATGCACGCAAGATGTAGCCCCTGGCATTGCGCTGGACCCCATGGCTGGTGGGTCCACTCCATAGGTGATGTAGGCAGTGTGATCACACACAACCCACTTCAAGGGCCCCCAGCTCTCCCCATGTAGGGTCTGAAATACAAAAAGCTGGGGATGTGTCTGATGGCCATCAGCCCACATACTGATGTGGACATGGAATTTGTAACAGAGAGCGGTATCCCCTCCCAGGTGATAAGCCCAGCACAGGCTATGCAGGCTCTTTCTCTTCCCATGAGAAAATGTTCCAGGCCCAAGGCCCATCTTCCACAGCTAAGCAGGATGCACTGACCACACGTGTCTGCTTTCCCAGTAGTGACTATGTATTTATGCAGGCATGGACTTGAGGAATCTTATTATTTTAATGGCTTAAAATATATGACCGTCATGACTTGTTTAGATGCTCTCAAATTGTCCCATATTTGGTCAGTGGGAGCCCTTTCAAGCTGGCTTCTGTCTCCTGAGTCCTTTGAACATGTCCCCAGCATTCTTTGAGTACTTCCTCACTTTCGGACATTACAAGATGGTCCAGGTCAATCTTGTTCTTTCCTGTCCCAGTCCTGGAGTCAGCCATTTCTCCAAGCAGCCCTGGTTTCTTGTATAGGGAAGTGGCATTTAGAGAAGGAGATCAGTGTGCACGGGAGAGTTTCAAACAAAGACATGGGTGATAGAATTGGGAGAGGCCACTGCAGTGGGTGGGACATTGGATGCCAGCTGTACTGTGGGTCCTTGAGAGGCTGAGAGTTAACTATTAGCGAAGTTTCCTTGAATGCCCCCAAGTGTTTAGAACCACACTAAGCCCCGAATGGGTCCTCTTTGAATGCCTGGCTGATTGATTCGTTTATTCATTGACTGTATTTATTGCTTGACAACAGAGCCAAAGTTGGTTCATTAGATGTATTTTCATGGACTATTGCAATAGGTGCAATAAAGTGCATGAGCAGCTTGGAGGTCATCCAGGCCACACCTCCATTTGGCTAATGAGGCCTCTTGGACTTCAGCAGGGGGAAACGCCATCTCCA